CTTATTTATTTGCATATAAGTGTTCAAAAGTGACAAAATAAATGTGAAATTTTTGAAACTAATAAAATTATGCTGGGAAGTTAAAATGCAATAAGGTAATCTTTTACCTTAAAAAGAATATTTAAATCCTACCAGTATAAATTTATTTGACACAAAAATTAATCTTGTCACAAAATGATTAAGGTTCGAAAATCATATACAATAAATGTAAATGATTGGAGACAAAGACATGACCGGCGTTAAATGCTAAAACAGTACACTGACTACAGCATGGCACTCCTTTTTGGAGTAAAGTTGCAGCGGCTGAATTATTAGAGGATAAAATACTGTCTATGTCGCGGCCGAATCATACAAGACAAGGAAACAAATTCAATCAATGCTCCTGCACAAGAAAACGAAAGTACAAGCTCATCATTGAAGACCTTCAACGAACAAGATTAATTCATCCTAATCAACGGATGAGATTAATCAATCGAGAAGCCTACAAATATAGGCTGAAACGAAAGTTTCTAACCAAGCTTGAGCATCCTAAGTAGAGAAATATTTCCATTGAGCATTCACGAGCTAACTAGCAAAAGAGAAAGTGTGAATCTATACTTTACTCTCTGCTTAGACTCATGCTTCACTAAACTTCTTAGTCACAAGTATTAAGTGCTAAATCCTAGAAGTTTAGTTCCTAGTTGGAGGTTAGAACTTTCTTGTAAACAAATCACAAATTGTTGTAAACACTTAGAAGAACAGTTGTTCGGATCCTAAATTGTAGTTAGATAGATAGAGTACCTTTTGATCCCCACTGCATCATTTGAGAAAAGTCTAAGGACTGAGTAACTTTGAGTCGTGTTATACTCATTGTGAAAAACCTTCAATCTAGGCCTAAGTGTTGTAAAGGCTAGATTGGCACTAAGTGTATTGGGCTTGATACTTTAGTGGAAATCCATCTGAAAGAGGGTGGGACTGGACGTAGGAGGATTACACCACCTCTGAACAGGGATATACCGTGTGTTGATTTATTTTCAGTCAATAAAGCACACACCAAACACTTCTCATAAAAGATTGCAGTTTGCCAGCAGCATCCTAAGTCTTACTTGACCCTACTACTTATCCTACTGCTTAATAACTCACTTTCTTTGAGACACTCTTTCCACAAGAGCCTTGCAATAAAAGGTGTGATCTATCAATTTTCAGGAAATCATCTTAAGGCATAGCAGTTGCCTCAGCAGTCCCCTGGTGACTACCCAACTGCTGAGCCCACTGCTCATACAAAAGTACTTCCTTAAACATCTCATACTTCACCAGACCTTCACAACACTCTCACCGAGGAGTCTGTTCAAACTAATCTCTGAAACATAAGCTGAAAGGCAGCAGGTGCCTCAGCAGTTCCCTCATTGCCACCCAACTGCCGAGACCACTGCTCCAGTAAAGCTCCCAGTAACTTGTATTAAAACGCATCTTCAGAAAGCTCTCATCACCCTGAGCAATATTATATAATCAGTCTTCCCATATCTTTATTTTCACTTAAGCAAGTACCTCATCAGTTCCCTGGTTACTACCCAACTGCTGAGACCACTGCTCTCATTAAGATTGATTATCAACCCATCTCATTACATCATCAGAATGTCATTTTCATTCTGATAAAGATTCTGCTTTCACTTTCATCATACACTCAATATTTCCTCAACAGTTGCCTCAGCAAATCCCTGCCATCTAGTCCACTGTCAAGCCAACTACTCACTACATAAAGACCAAACTTCATCCATCATAGAAAGTTGTTATACACTATTTATCTAAGAGGTTAAGGACTTCCGTTGTGAATCTATAAATCTCCCAAAAGATTTTAGATCAACTCATCTATAAGGGAAAAGTTTCTAAAATTGAAAAAGCTTTAAAAGTCTATTCACCCCCCCCCCCCCCTCTAGACTTTTACCTCTATCCGGGACCATCAATTACCCATTTTTTCTAGAATAGATGAAATCGCAATAGATTCTTCATATATTCTTAATAAAATTCTTAAATAATTTCTTCAAAACTTCTCCTGAATTCTTCCGAGCCTCTCTGGAATTTTTCAGAGCTCTTTGCGCGTGTCTTTTCCTGGAAGTTTTTTACAATTTCTTTGTATGCAAGTTCGTTGTTCCTTTCTCTCAACTGAGACTCATATTTATAGATACGGATCTGATGATATATGAATTAGGATTCCACAATTTCGTCCAGATCTCTAGGTATTTGATTGTAATAGGCTTTATACCTCATTTACTTGTATTTTTATAGCTAGAAAAATCATCATGTGTGCTCAGTTTATAATATACTGGACCACTATTCATAAATCATCTCTTATATTGGACGATTTTCTTAACTAAATCCATCTCCTTATTCATAAATCAGATCATATCTCTTATATGTTGGAAGTATGCTCTAGGACAATCATACTTTATGATTTATCAATGAATATTTAATTCTCATTAATTAATAAAGTCACAAACTCATTTTATGTTAATTATTATTGTGAGTTTTCTTTATTAATATTTAGTCCCTGAATATTATGTTTAGTAGCTAATTAAGTACGTGACTTAATTTTGGAATGTTACACTTTAAAATAAGCATAATATTCTAATTGTCCATGGTCTAATATTATTAATCTGGGACATTACTAATTAATAGACCATTATGTGGATTAACTGATGGCTATATTCCACTAGTCATGGGTATAGAGATATCAAGTTAATAACATAGATGCTTGTTAGTGAACAAGTTCATTGGACAGACCCAACTTGAGGACACTGCTAGGTTATATGTCATCAGTGTTGTCCTCAATAATGATGAGGTGCTATATTCGTATACTTGAGATAATCATGGTTACTTGTATGCGAATTAATATGTATTAACACCATTAAATATTATTTTTAAATGGGTAATTATAAAGGTGGTGATTGTACATATTATGAACCATGTAGTGGTAAGTGAATTATCAAGATAGTTTTTGTCACTCTCGTATAGCGAGAGAAAGATATCTATTGGGCCCCTTGACAAGTAAGATTAATTAGCATGGCCATGCTCAAATGAGGTGTCATTTGTTCAAAATTAATCTTACTTGGTAATCAAGAAATATTAATTGAGAATAACAACGATGACATGACCTAACCCTGTCTCAATTAAGATATCATTTGACAAAAGAGAATTATTAGCACAAATTAATCATTAAAAGGTTATGTCAGATTTAATTGACATTTATATATTTTGGATAGTCATAATGCCTTGCTAGAGGCCGCTTATGATTTGTGAGGCTTGAATTAATTTTTTTAGCCCACTGCCAATAATATATAAACCTACAGGGTCACACACCTAAGTGATTTGGATCATTAATGTTCGTTAATAACATTAAAATAGCCTGATTAGCCCAATTCGAAATAGAGTTTCGAATGGTATTGGGCTAGGGCCTCTTGGAGGGTTTTATTAGCTATAAAACTTCTTCTTTCCTCCTCTTATAAATAGGGCTATATAGACCCACGAATTTTAAGAGTTAAAATTCACTTCTAAAACCTAGAGTAGAGAGGAAGAAAGAAGAGAACGCTAGCACGTTCCTTGCGGCCGATCCAATCACGTGCGTGTGGATACCGGTAGAGGTCGGGATCGTTTTCTCGGACTGTCTGACATCCTTGATTAAGATTGCTATGTAAGTCCCTCTTATATCTTGAAATTTCGTTTATAGTAAGAACCTTAGATCCGGTTGTTTTCTTTTGGGCAGTATTTTTTTTGTTTATTCCGCTGCGTTTTTCTGCCCGAATCCCAACATTATATATTGGACCGCTATTTAATTTCAGGCTCAGAATAGAGAATTTAAGAGATCCAGTCCATTACTTAAAAGGCTCAGTTTATAATTAAAGCAATTGAATATCTTAAATTATTCAAATTAGTTTAATCATCAAATTTTATTTCAAGTGATTCATATCTATATTTTCTCTTGATAGAGCCTACCTAATAACATCTTGTATAGCTCAAGAGGACTTGACACCGGCCCAATAGCACTTAAAAGTGGTCCAACATGATCGGGAATGATCCGATGGCATTTTAAAGTGACCACATGACAATGACAACCGATCCAATAATTTTTAAATGTCCGCATAAACGTATGACAAACATGTTTGGTTATTGATTTTAGTATTAATTAAATTAAGTTTAGCCTAAGTTTCATTAATTGATTCTATTTTTACTCTTAGTGATCTAGCTATTGATAAATTCCCGAGCAACTTACAGATGTATCGTCTAATTCATACTCCTAAATAAGGAAGAAGAGTCGAGATAGTTTCGGCTTTGTTAAAGAGAGAATTTCCTAAATATGATTAAATGAAATTTTAATTGTCAAAATCGGACCATAACTTAAAAATTCTCTAAATATGACTAGTTTTCCAATTTTACCGTTTCTTTCTTTTAATAGAATTCATATTTCACTAAAAAGTAATAAACATAACTTTATTTATAATAGAAAATTTATTTGAAAAAAATAAAAAACACGAAATAAAATTTATTTAAAAATTAATAAAAAATATTTATAAAATAGAGAATTTAAAAAATAAAAATAAAAAAAAATAAATAATGCAAAATATATTTATAAAAATGCAGGCCTATGTTGCCGCCTCAACAACCTTCCGGAAACATCAATTTCGATCATCCGAAAAAATGCAAACATGTGTCAGAAATGTCATCTTGATTACGTACGGAGTATATATTTTGTAATTTAACATGTACGGAGTGATAATCTTTTAATAAAATCGGAAATCCTACTACGGTGAATGTATGTGGTCAATACTCGCTACATTCCACATAAATCTGTTTCTTTTTCTTGCATTAATTGTCGTTTTGTTTTGTTGTGCATCCACTATAACAAGTTGTTTTGGAAGGAGATTGAAACTCGAAAGTGAGGACTGAAAAGGAAACCCCGTTAACCAAATCCGTTTGTGCAAAAAGATGATTTTGATAAAAAGATTGTAGTTTTATGCAACAAAAAAGCTCAAGTAAAATAAATTACACTAGTGTTATTTAGAATATACGCAGTAGAAGTTCTTTTTCACATAATATTACAAATTGTTCACACGAATTGAAACAAAAATTGTTCCAGAATGATGCCGCCACTGACTCCAATTTTTTTTTCCATCTTTTAAAATTAATTTTCATTCCAAAAAAAGATTAATCTTCACTCCATGATAGAGAGAACAAAGCTTCACAAATGTCGGAGAAAGCTTCAATTATAATCCCATGATGATGATCAGAGTTAAGGGAGAGAAAGCACTGGAGAAGCTTCTCAAGATCTCTACCTCCGAATATCCCTTTCTCCACTATCATTTCCAACATCGAAGCCATGAAATCGCCGTACGGATCGCTCGACCTCTTCACCACTGCAAAGCTGCTATTGACCGCCGCCGAATCACGGCGGCGCAAAGATCCCTCCACCGAGTCGGAGTCGGATGATAGCAACAGCGACCGGGACGACGAGAAAAACATATCTCCGGCATCGTCTCCGTCGTCGCTACTGAACAACCCGTTGTACATAAATGCCCCCGAGATGTCGTGGAAATCGTCGAGCAGGCCAACGATATAACGACTTGGGCGCTGCTTCTTCTTCCTCTTCTTTTTCTTGCTCTTTCCGTGCTGCTTTGGCGTGGACGCGGAGCCGCAAGAATATTTCTCAGGGCGGTCGTATGAAGGTAAATACGCTGGTGTTGGAGGGCATTTCTGACCTTGGGGTTCTGGACGGGAAGTTTTAGGGCATCTGAGTCGGGCAGTGGAGCGGAGAGTACGAGGTTTTGGGGAGAAAAGCTCATCAAACAAGAGATGGTTATTAATGTCATTATTAGTATTATTGTTATTGTTACTATGAATGACGACGTCGGAAGTTAGTTTCTTGGTCTTGCATGAACGGAAAATACGGTGGAGCTTTAGCTTGAACGGGTTCTCCATTTTTAAAGAGGAAAACGATTGAAGAAGCTTAGCAAGTTTGTGACTGATAATTACTCCGTATCTGGTAGTGATGGAGGTAGTTATATATAGCGACTAGCGAGTGCCCGCGTGCAATGACCAATGATACCTTTCATTCACCAATACATCAAATTGATTACATACGTCGTATATTGGAACTTGAACTCATTTATGATGAAATAAAGAATACATCAATTTTTGGATGGTGCAAATGTGTGTAATCCCAAATGGTAGAGTTTTTTTCCTGGAGGAGCGTATTCTTCGATCTTATTTTCCAATTGAGGGTACTTGTATTTTCTAAATGAGGGTAGTTTTTCCCATGTCATCCAATTTCCGCCACATCACCCACTCCACATCATTTACCGTCATCCGTCATTCCACGTCATCAGACATATGGGTATTCTTTTAAAATATAAAAAAATCCGCTCCCAGGAATTGAACTCTTGACCAAAATCATGCATTTGAATCTTGCAATCCACTAGATTACATTGACTTGTTGGTACAATCACACCTTTACAAAATTTAACATCTATATATTTTTTATTTTGATATATGCAATTAAAAAAATGTTAAATTACTCTAGAGTAATTAAATAAAATGTCCTCTTTGAGAAAAAACTCCCAAATGCTATGTATATATTTTGTCCTCTTTAGAAATTACTTATTTGTTTTTATCGTAATTTATGTTATCTTTTCATTTTAATTCCTCACCCCGTTAATTTAGGATGTTTTTACTTAGACTGTAATTTGTTTGTCTGATGATCTGATCTGTTTAAGTTCGAGCTGATCTCCTTAAGCCTGGTCTAGTCTAGTTTGAATTGGCCTGGTCTGATAAACGTCTGGTCTCTTTGTATTTTATAACTACAGAAGTCAAGTTTGGTCTGGTCTGATCTGTTTCAGTCTTGTCTGATCTGATCTGGTCTGTTTATGTGTGATCTGATCTGGCCTAGTCTAATCTAGTCTGAGACTGAATACAGTCCTAATAAAAGCACCCTTATATATCACCTTCATTAAAGATTTCTTCAGATTCTTTATGATGTCATTTTTTGAATATATGTAACTTTATTTTTAAGAAGGTTGCTATTGTTAAGACATATTTTAAAAATATGAATGATTAGTCTTATACTCCGTATTGTTTTAACTCATATTAGGCACAAGAAAATTATAAAAGTATAAATTTAAACAATTCTAGTAGATTTGGGGGAAGGTTCCAATGAAAGGAGGTCCTCCCCTTACAAGTGTGAATAAATCTTGTGTTTAATCACTTCAGAATTGATAGAATAGCTGAATTTTAAAAGGCACTAGAAAAATAATATGTAACGTTTATAACAATACAATAATAACACAAAGCGAATCACTTCTAGATAGAAATGCATTTAAGTGTGAAAAAGATTAGCATATTTTTTAAGGTATGCACATTTAACTTTGTATTTCTAATGCACTTTTGTGGTGTACATGCATCGTACATATATAAATTTTCTATATATTCTAATACACATTTGCTACAACTTTTTCATATAAAGTTATTCATAATTACTATTGTTGATGTGTTCTTTACATAAAAAGATATTGTCCTTAATAGGACTAACTTAATAGGACTAAAATAATGAATAAGTTCCAAATTAGAAGTACTTGTAATTTATCCCGGGAAAATTGTCAAATAGGTCCTCGAACTTTCATAAAAAGGTCAAAAAATTGAATGCGCTCCCAATTAAATTTTTAGCTGAAATTTGGTATGAGTAAACTAGACTTGATGAATAAGATGCTCAAAAAATTTCATCAAAAAATTCCATCGGGAACCGCCCCAAATCGCGACGACCGGACAGAGTCCCCTATAGAAGGACTTAATTACTTTTTTATGAAAGTTCGAGGATCTATTTGACAGTTTTCCCATTTATTCCCCATATAGGAGTTATTAATTGACCGTCTATTTGTTTTTCCAAATTTACCCTCAACTAACCCAAAATTTATTTGTCAGACTTATCCTTTCCATCTGCATTCCTAGTTTAGTAGCCCTTTTTCCTTTCTCATCCGATCCATTCTTCTCTTCTTCCTCTAACATTTCTTCTCTCTCAAATTGATGTCCAGATTTTTTTCCCGATTGATTCTCCCATCTCTGGCGGATTACGGAGATGTGGATGATGAATTTCGCTCTTCAACTTTTGCTACCGGCGAGCAGCAGCGGTTTTTAAAGGTTCTGAGGAGTTTAGTGCCCTAAAGGTTCTGAGGAGTTTACCGCCCTAAAGAATGCTTAAAGGTTCTGAGGACTTTTGATACGAAAATGCTTCTTGTATCCCGGACGGCCCTGCTGAGGTAAATGTTGATCTTTTTGCCGTCCGGGAGGCATTTAAAGGTTCTGAGGAGTTTACTGCCCTAGAGAATGATTATGAGCAGCGGGAATTCCTGGCCACCTTTGGTGCTTATCTCGACCAGTTCCCCACGGGTGACACTCGCCGCAGAGAAGGGGTTAGTTTGCTCGACCGGGATCCTCGAGGTAAAAAATTCAATGAGTCCCTGGCGAGATCGCTCTATGTGATGGGCTGCCAGCATATCATGGCCCCCTTCGTGGTCAAGCTTCAAGAGATGCTAGGGAGGCCGGTCGAGCTTTCCGATCTCCCCTCAGCCCCTATCGTTGAGGCTCAGTTTGAGAAGTACCAGCGGGATCTACAACGGGCTGTTGATCGAGAAGTGGGGAGGGATCCTGACCCCCCAACTGACTCAGATGATGATGGGGATGATGATGAAGAGGAGGGGGACAAAAGGCCGCTGGTCAGTAGATTAGATTTTGAATACTAGTAGTTTGTAATTCCTTCCCTTTTTCCTTTTTTGCAAATCACCTTTGTACTTTCCGGCTGGTAGAGCCGATGAATATATATGACATCTTTTTTGCTCAATGCTTTATTTATCGTCTTCGTTGTCTTTATTGATTTTTTGTTTTACCATTCAGGAATCGATCCGCTTTATTGGACTTAGCAGTTTCCCTACTTTCTCAGTTTTGTTATCACCCTTGTATTGCCGTTCGGGCTCCCGCGAATTCACCAGGACTTGGCCCTTTGTTTTGTGTTTACTGCCATTTGGATCATCCTTTATTCCGCCATTCAGGCTTCAGATAGTTCTGTAGGACTTAATCGTTTTCTGAATTTTTTGTTTCTGGTTTCCTATATATCCCACATAACTATTAGTAGAAACCCTGTTCGGTTTGTTTGCTGCCCCTATCTTCTGACTGTCGCCCGGATTCTGAACTTTTCCCATCCCGCTGATCTTTATCTGTTGTTCTTCAAATACTACCCGTTCGGGCTGTCTAAAGATACTTGTTTCAAATTTACGGCTTATGTCGACCTTGGTCCGGGATGCCCCTTAATACGTTCATCGTTCGATATCTTTAAGATGGCTTCCTCAAAACAGTTAAACTGTTCTTCATGAATTACCCAATAATCGTTCGGGGAACGTGCTAAACTACCATAAATGTGCCATAATTTCGCGCAACCACATTTTGCCACGTGTTCTTCGTGGGTTAGGGTTTTGGGCGACATCTTTGCTTATAAATAGAGGTGCTTCTTTTTCATTTTCTCTGTTGCTTCCTTAATTTCTTCTTGCGTCTCTTTAAGCTTTCTCTCTCTAGAATTCTCAGGCTTCCTTGAATTACTAAGTGTTCTTTATGTTCTTCTCTTCTAGCTCAGAGTCTGAAGAAATGCCGCTTATTCGTAAAGGAAAAACTCATGTTGTAAACAAGGCCGAGGGCTCTTCTTCCCAAGTACCTAACTCCACCAATTCCTTAGTACAAAAAGATGTCGAACAGCCTCTCGATGACGGATGTCTTTCGGGAGATGATGTTAGGATCTATAACAAGGGAATGCCCAAACGACCACCTCACATTCCTTTGCACTTCACCCGCATCCGCAAACAAAAGCAACGTCTTCCTGAGGACGCCGAATGGCAACTTCATCAACTTCTGCCCCCGCCTAGGGAATTTTATGCCGGATTCATCAGGCATCTCATGAGGCACCGACCAGGGCACGTGCTTGTGCACCTTGATGCCTTGATTGCTAGGCTCTGCTTCCCTCTACATCCGTTCATTGTTTAGTTCTTGCTCCGGGTCTCCGTACTTCCTGCTCAGTTCATACCCAGTACTTACCGCATTCTGTCTGGCTTCATAATTAGATGTCAAGAACTAAGGATCGCACCAAGTGTCGATCTATTTCTGTACCATTATTGCTATCAACCCTATTGGACCACTGGGTACTTGAAGTTGGTGGCCCGAGCTGACCGCCAGTTGTTCATGGATAACCCTACTCCGCTGGCTGATTGGGAGGAACGGTTCCTCTTCGTTCGTATAGGTGACTCACTCCCATTCCCTGGTCGGTGGAACGCGTATCCTGTTCGGGATTCTGAGCCTAGACTGGATGCCGTTCTGCGTTCTCAAGCCGAATCATTGCATCTGGGAGGATCTCGGAGCCTTCGGGGTTTTATTAACCCCTCCAAAATGTTGGCTGCTGGGATCGGTAAGTTTATTTACTTTTAACTCGATCGATCTTCTTCTAATTCAGTTTCTTATCTCTTATTCCCTCTTTTGTAGGTGTGATATCCCCTATACCCATTCGGCGTTCCATACCTGCCGCAACCCTGACTGCCTCCTCAGGAAAAGGCAAGGAGAAGATGGTTGCCGATCATATGTCTGCTGAACAAACCCGGAAGAAACGTAGAGGGAATTATGGCAGCACACTGATCTCGGTCGATCACGCGGTTGATTTGACAAGTCCGAATGACAAGCTGAAAAGACATGTCATCCCTGTCCAGCCCCAAACTTCAGATCTTAACAACACACCGGTCGATGTCGAATGTTCGTGGAGTTTTCCAATTTGGGGCCCCGAGCAGAGGGAAGGTACCTGTTCGGGAAGATGTCGTCTTCTATGTGGTGCAGTACCTCCCTACAGGTTCCGCACAGTTTTTCTACTCTGACCCATTGGTCTGACCTGGTCGAGGCAGGTCACCTGGAGACTCTCAATGTGACACCCTAGAAAAACAGATAAAATTTAATTG